TAAAAATATCAGAAAAATCTACTTGAGTACAGTAACGAAGTATTTGTACTTCGTTACTTCCCATCTCTGGTTAATTGTATGTTAAATTGTTATGTAATGGTGCGTAAGATGCACATGCGCAAGGATATCTTGTCTCGAGGCGAGACGTAAAAATACGACGAAATGCGACGAAAAAAACCTCTAAAACGTACGAAATTATGGTGCATAACTTTTCGTACGATTTCATACGAACTAATAATGAGAATACACTAAGAAGAGAGAGGTGCGCGAGAACGTTTGGACCCTTTTTCCACCTTGATCCCCGCTCTTTTTGGCCCTCATGTCCCTCCGTTGTCACACAAACTTGCCCCTTGCATTTTTCCACTTGCGCCTCGGCCGCATCTAGACCCACAGCTAGTTCCTGATTGTCCCTCTTGCGTTGTGATGTGGAATAACTTAGCGCGGACCACGCTTCAGTGTTTGGGATGAATCAAAAATATCTGTGACAAGCTCACTGCGACACACTGCTGCAGGAGGAGAACCAGCCCTTTAAAAACATGGCAAGGGATTCAAATAACTGAATGCATGAAGTCAAATTTCTATTCAATTAGGTTTATTAAAATTCTATTTCTCATTAGGTCAATATACATTCATGATTTAGGAATTTTATATGTTTTTCACTTAATTTAAGTTAAAATTAGCGTTTTTCTATAAAATCTTAATTAGAACTTAAGAAAAACTGATAAATTCAGCTGCAAAAATTAGAGTATTTTTTTTATTTGTTTTGAAAAAAATTACATTTAGTAGACGAAAACTGGGTTCCTATCTCAATAGCACTAAAGCTATCACCTTATTGTTTTTAAACAATTAGTAACCATGTTTGTTCCAGCGCATATCATCATTAGAATTTTTTTTTAGTGTTATGTCTTGGGTACAGGGGCAAAAACAGGGCCCCCATAGGCCCCCTTCTAGAACCGCCTATGCACACGATCCCCTGGAAGCTTCCTCTAGTATAAATAACATGGGAGCTGTCCAAGACGGAAGAACGTAGATAAAGAAATAAATTCAGAAAAAGGATTCCAGGGCAAAATGAATCCTTTGGACTCTGGTGTCTATTTTATTTATTTATTTTTTATCAAGAACAAATAATTAGCTTACAAGAGGAGAGAGTGGATGCTCCATTTTTCAAAGGAGACAAACATATTGAATGCAAATTGCCAAAGCTTCATAGGAAATAGATTATTTATTAATGGCCTGATAGGTTCATTATATAGCATAGAGAGTGCGCGAGGGAGAGAGGCATCATGGGTAATGGCTTTGTGGGGCACAAACAATAAATGCTTGTTACGGCGGAGGAGGCAGGTTTATCCGGTGCTCAATCTTGTCTGGCAGAAGGGGCTGAGAGCAGCAGCAGCAGCAGCAGCAGCATCGGCTGGTTCCTGGTCTCCCTGTGAGCCCGTATAGCGGCCCAGAAGCACTCCCGGGTATGAATGGGAATCAATAGTATTCATGCCTCAACACCCAGCCGGGGAGCCTGTCGCCTTTATGAATGGAAAGCCGTGGAGCTTAGTACACTCTATTAAATGAACAGCTGGATGAGTAGCACTCGGCTGTTCACAGCGCCGCAGGCTTCACCTGTCCTGCTACGTGGTTAGGAGACTGATACTGCAGCAACGCCTCAATGCTGGAGCCATTTTTCCTCCTGAGAGCTACTCCCGCTTCTCTCCGGGCCTCAGATTGATGCAATCCATGTTTTAAAACATTCAGGGGTTAAATTCAGTCATATGCTCCCAGGTGCTTATTACAGACCTGTTTTAAAGTGCAGTTAATGTCGACTCAGTGATGGACACGTTAGCTCAGGTCACATTAATCTGCTACTGGAAATATTCCCCAACGCTTCTGTTTGTTTAATTCAAACTACAGCAGCTCCACGTTGGGGGAAAAAATGCTGAGCTGCTTCTTATCTAAATAAATCTGCATATTTGTGACCTTTTTCTAAAGACTAACAACCTGGGTAGGAACGGTGAGCTCGGCGCCGGGCGCCGCATTAGGAGAGGAGTCAGAAAGTGCTGAGAAAGGTAGGAGCACATTGTTAGTTTTGGTCTTATTATTGGATTTTTTTTTTTTTTTTTACATATAACGAGAAGAAATGCAAAATAAGGCCATCTTCATCCTTCATCTGGCTCCTTTTAATTAATTTATTCAACATATAGATGTCCTGTTTGTGAGGAAACAACCTGAATATTAATATAAAAGTGATGTCGTGTTTATTTAGTGTGGAAAGAGATCCCACAACGCTGAGGGCTCAGATATCTGCTACTGGACTCAGGTCTAGTGGTATCACTGCATCTGGAGAAAGACATCACAATTATTATAAAAAGTCCAGGATGTATGGAGTGAGCTTTGCTCCATTATTGTTGCAAATGAATAACTTGTTTTAAAAATGGAAATAAAGAAAACGCAATCCAGAAATGAAATTTAAACTGGATTTTGCAGTAACTTTTGTGATTTAACTTTTTTTTAAATCGCATTTTACAGATCACTTTCTATTGGTCTACTGGACCTTAGCAACAACATTTTTAGTGGCCAAGAGCGAGCCGTTGTATATAAAGAATTTGATCTGTAGAAACTAGGGTGGAAACAATTAATTGGATTCATCGTGATGAATCAATTATTGAAATAAACGTCAACTAAATTAGTGATCGATTAATCGTTAACTGGAGCGTATAGACTGTAAAACATGCCTTTAGCTGACAGAGGGACCCACTTAGAGCAGTAATTATACCAAGATTGTAAAAAAATATATAAACATTTTGCATTTGAAATAAAAAAACTTTTTCCTCTGTCAGTATGATCTATCTAGAACTCCTCAAGTGGAAAAGTTGTAGTTTCTGGTTTAATTCTGTAAAATATCTTAAGAACATTTGGCTATCTGATTATTAATGGAAAAAAATAATATACACATTAATCTGTTTGCAAAATAATCGTTAGTTGTAGCTTTAGTAAAAACACAAATTTATAACAATGCAGTTTGTAAGGAAATTTAGAAAAGCAACTTTAAAAAAAAACATTTGGAAAAAAAAATTTGAAAGATTTTAATAATAAAAAAAATAATAAAATAGAAAAAAAAACAGCCAAGTTTGACTCAAAAAAATTTTTTTTTATTAAGAAGTTAAACAAAGCTTTGTTTCTTGATTGTAATTTTTTTAAATTTCCATTCTCAAAACATATTTGCTCAAAGCAATAATGGAACAAAAGTCACTCCATAGCTGAGAAGCGGAGGTTCAATCCATTCATAGCGACGCATCTCAGAGTCCATCATCATCATCATCATCATAATCCTCATCAGGAAGTTGATGCATTTTAGTGATTCAGTTGAAAAAGGGAATTTGATGTTTTTACAATCGTTAACTGGAGCGTAGAGACTCTTTTGATGATTTAAGGACCAGATTGTTGGTTCCACCCAGGATGATTTCATAATTCTTTCTTTCCAAATAAAACCAAACAATGAAAATGGATCGGAGATGAGAACTTTTTCTCTGTAAAGGTTAGATCCCCAAACACTTCAAAAAACACCAATCGACTATGGGTATGCTGGTCTGACGGGGTATGCTCATCTAACAGAACACCAGCTCTGGTTTTAGGTAAGGACATCAACAGTTGGAGACGTCCGTCGATCTGAAGCTTCGATCCCAAACACATAATAAACGTCGATTCTTATCTTACTTTTCCATCTGCCTTGAACTGCCATGTTTTCCTTCCATTGATCTTAACCTTAACCTTCTCTAACACAACCTTCTGTGGTTCTGGTGCAGAACTCTGAGGAGGTCAGCAGTTCTGCTGATAGCCTTAAAGGGAAAGTGGTCGGTCCCGGACTCATTGATCATGACGAAAATTATTATGTTTATGTTTTCTAAATTCATTTAATCAGCGCCAACTGATAAGTTTTGGTTATAATGATCCATTGATCATTCCTTGCCCAGCGGACTTTTCCTTTGACAGAACAACCCTCTGTAGTGACTATATGAACTGGATTTCGCTTTTGAACTGAATTCCTGAAAGAAAATTACGGAAGAGGATTAGGGCCAGTGGAAAAAAACCCAAAAAGTTAACTGATTTTAAAATTTTATTTTAGTTTAACATGGGAAAAAAGTCAGAATTCTGACTTTTTTCTCAGAATTCTGACTTTAAAAAGTCAAAAAAAAAAAAAGTTTAAAAACTCAGAATTTAAAAAGTCAGAATTCTGACTTTTTTCCCCATACTAAGCTGAAATAAAATTTAAAAATCAGTTAATTTTTTCTTTTTCCACTGGTCCTAATCCTCATCCGTAGAAAATAAATTGTTATTGCGTTTTATTTTGATGCAGCTGAAACATTGAAACTCTTATTTTGAACTACAAAGGAAGAACACCAGTCTTCAGACCCTCAGGTTGTTGATTGTGTCCTTTTAACGAGGATTTCATTCAGGTTTTGATTTATTTAGGTGAATATTCATGACTTTCTGGATAAATTCAATTATGATGATAAAAGACACTAAAAACTTGTAAGGAGTGAGAAAATTCTAAAAATTAAATGTCTGCCTGGTCAAACGTGTGTCTCTAGTGAAGCGTTTCCACTACAGGAACTGTGATCAGGAATAACGGTCGTTTTTTTACTCCGTACTTTTATTACGGTGTTAACGGTGCCAGAATATACCCCAGAAAAACCTCCCAGGTAGACTGCTGGTCCTCTTTCCTTCCCCAGGACCATTTGGATTGAGTTGTGAAGGCAGGGAATCTGCTAAACTTTATAGACTGGCTGATTTTCTTTTTTTTTGTTTTTCAACATCAAATTAATTCAGTCAATTTACTGGAAGATACATCAGCTCATATTCTGTGTCTTTGTGGATTACTGTATGCACTAGATGATGTCAACTAAACGTAAATAAAGCTTACTTGACATAAGATAATTTACATTTGATTTGAGTTAATGAGTAAAGTTTTTTCAAAATAAAAGAGTTAACTTATTTTTGAGGCCAGACTACTAAGACAATTTTAATAAAACCATTTTAGCAATGTGCTCCTTTAAAATTTCTCTTGTTTTTAAATGATTTTAATGCAAATTAAGACTGTAAACAGCATTATTTATCCCTTTATAGGGCAAGTTACCGTTTTTGACGACCTGCATACCTCTTTTAAATGGAGTCCCCCCCTCAGTGAGGTCTAGTGGCACTAGATCTATATCCAGCCATTCAGCAAAGTTCCTGCTACATGGCTGTACATCTTATTCTGGCATTTGACCAATTAGATGAGCCCTTGAATGATATATTACCTACTGGAAATTAAGTTGGAAAAGAAGTTAAGTCAAGAAAAAAAGGTGAAAAGTTAAAAAGTAAAGTTAAAAAGTTAATAATCCTAGTTAACGATTATATTTAGGTTTATAAACTAATAAATGTAAGTGTAGCCTCTAAGGTTATGTTCTACCATGAAAAATGTTTTTCTTTCACTCTCAGAGTTTTTTTGCAGGAATTTCTTATAGAAGCACTTTTGTTATTTCTTTTAATATATTCAGGCAAGTTGGCGTTTCTTCTTATAACATTGACATTCATTTTTCCCATCAAAATATCCATATTTTTTTAAAGTTACAAAGATTTTCCTGGATTCCAATAACACTATTGGCTTGAAATGTTGATTTTCAACGTGCTCTATAGAAGGTTATGGGTTGAATAAATGTTCTTAGAGAAAACCTGAACCTGATTTGCAACAAAGGGAGGTTTATAAATTCACTTTTGGAGTTGGGAACAAAAAGAAGTATGAGCGTTAGAATTTCCCAGTTTCTCTAAACATATCATTAAAATCTCGGAGTATTTTTCCGTCAGCCAGCTGCGTTGTTAAACCGCTACCTTTCATCACAAAGGTGATAAATCTGAATAATGTAAAACCAAACTAATCGATGCCCGCGTTTGAAACGGGTTTGGGTCCCTGAAGGAGGCGGTTCAATCCCATCTGCTGGAGGACCTGTGGCTTGCTGGTGGATTAGGCGAAATGTGAAACAGCTCAATAATAAATTGATTGACAGGACTAATGATTCACAACTTGTGTGAGAGCTGCAACAAACAATGAAAACAAAGGGGAGGGAGGGAGACGGAGAGCAAGGGGCTGGGTGGATCCGGCTCTCCAGGACCGGGCTTAGAGACGGCTACTCTCCGCCAACGTACACACCGCACTAATGCCATCATTAGGAAACAGAAGAAGTGCATGGTAATGAAGCAGCTGGCGTTCTAGTTCACTTACCTTGGATCCTCGCTCATTAAAGATAATCTCCACATCTAAAATCTTTCCAAATTGCTGCAGAGAGAAAAAGAAAGACAGAAGAGCAGAGATGGAGTCAGAGAGCTTCACTGGCTGTGAATTCATGAGGAGGATGGGCTGGAGAGAGAAGAACCATTAAGGCAATATGGAAATGTTACTTTGGTGGGGAAATGGTGGTCAATTTGCATTTGTTAGCTGAGCAAACAGTTGTTGAAGGTTGTTGGCGTGGTTTAAAGCAACTCATGGCCGCTTAAATGCCTCTGGATGTGTATCAATGGAACGAGACCGCGGCGTTTGTAAAATAAATTCTACATCTTGGACTGTTTCCAACGTTTCTGATTCGCGATTAAGAAAAACCAGCAGATGGCGCTTTGATGTCTTCACCTTTAGAGAATCTTCCCACCAACCTCTCTGCCTCCTCTCACACGGTCAGCGGCGCCTAAGGGGAGGTCGGGGGGGGGGGGCTTAACTCAACGCCGCCCCATCCTGTCGATTTAACAGGCCTACCTACGGATCATTAGAAAACAGAGGGATGAAAGTAAACTAGAAGTTCCTCTAATGAGTGGAGCAAGCGCCACTTTTAATTGCCGTCTACAATGGCCGTATTATTTCATTAAAAGTAATTACCCTGTCAAGCGGTCCGCGTCGCCTTCATTTCAGCACAACGGGGAAGAAATGGGCCTTCCATGTGGTCGACGCTCAATGGGGATGGATGGATCGTTTGACTGAGCCACTAATAGGGGTTAGGAGGAGCTGGCTATTATCTGGCTGCAGTGAGTGGAGTGGGCTTAAAACGCTGAGGGTTAGCTGAAAAACTTTGAAACAAATGGCTGAGTTATTTACCCCCCCCCACCTTCTTGTTATATATCCGTTCCTCTTGGAGGAAGACTCCATAGATCCCATCCACACATCTGTCTCGTATGGCGCTCGGCTCCACTGATTCGAGGAGGGAACGCGGGCTCGATCGTACGCGCAGGCATTTATATCCCAGCGTGACGCCCCCTTTTTCTCGCCCGAGAAGACGGCGCTCCCCCCCCCACCCAACGTGCAGATGCTAATTGTTTTAACCGAGTGTAATGGGCTTGTGGCGTCGATTAATTAGTTTCAGAGGAAGTCGTCTTTGTGGATTTCCACATGGCACTGGGGACCGCCGATCTCGCACGCTCCCATCCCCACCCACCCACTCGCTTTCTCCCACACACAGACAAACAGCTGCATCAGCAACACGATACACAGCAGCTTCGACGGGAGGAGTCTCCATCCATCCATCCATCCCTCCATCCCTCCACAGAACAACTTTAACTTCCCTGACCGCATCGTTTTAGACCATTTATCAGCAACTGTGTGTTCATCTTTGAGCGTTTCATCTTCAATTCTATTCTAATGAATTGTGCAACATTGTAAAAATAAAAAAAAACAACATTGATGACCGAGGAAACTAAACGCAAACAGAAAGGAGGAGAGAAACATACAAAAATGATTAGAATTTTTAACCCTTTGATGCCTGATGTTCCTAATAAGCAACAAACTGCTTGTAGGTTTTTCGTTAAGTCAATTTTTCTTAGGGGGCAGAAAGATGTTAGTGTTTGATCTGACAACAAGCTAGTCTTTATTAACCCTTTGATGCCTGTTGTTGCTAATAAGCAACAAACCGCTTGTATTACACTGCAAAAAAAAATTAAATCTAAGTCAATTTTTCTTAAAATAACAGCATTTTCTCTTGAATTGAGCAGGTGAGTAAGATGCTTTGCCTTTGAAATAAGACAACTTACGTTTAAAATAAGAAAACACAGTTCCAAAGTCTTATTTCAAGTGCATAATATCTAATTATCTTATTTTAAGGGTAAAAATGCTCATTGCATTGGCAGATCATCCTATTTTCCTCCTCATATTAAGGGTAAATACACTAATTTTAAGACATTTTTACTCATTTTCAGAACATTTCTGTAGTGTAGCCAAACAGCCCACTAGAAAAACTATCCTGAGATAAGTAAACGTTACTTAAATTAGGTGTATACCCTTAATTTGAGTAGGTAAATGAGATAGTTTGCCAATGGAATGACTATTTTTACTCTTAAAATAAGATAATTAGATACTATGCACTTGAAATAAGACTAAGCAATTGTTTTTTTTTCTTATTTTAAGAGTAAATTATCATGTTCTACTGGCAAAATGTCTCTTAACTCCTCAATCCAAGAAAAAATACACTTATTTTAAGAAAAAATGACATCTAGATTTAGATTTTTTCCAGTGTAACATATTTGCATCACCCCACACTGGATAAACGATCTAGAAATAAGTAAAATTTTCTTAAATTAAGTTTATTTTCCCTAAATTTGATTAAGTAAATGAGATAGTTTGCCAATGGAATGAGAATTTTTACTCTTAAAATAAGATAATTAGATAAAATGCACTTGAAAATGGACAATGCAGTTGTGTTTTCCTATTTTAAGAGTAAATTGTCTTATTTCATTGGCAAAATGTCACTTTTTCCTACTCAATCCAAGAACATTTTAAGATTATTTTAAGAAAAAATGACTTATCTAGATTTGGGTTTTTTCCAGTGCAGTGCTAGTCACAGTTTATGTTATTATGTAGTTATAGCTGCTGTTACAAAATATACTTTACCTTCATTTCTATTTATTTAGTAAAATTAACCATTTTAATTTGGCACCTCATTGAAGTGGAAAAAAACGCACAAAATGTGTTTTTTTATGTACATGTACATCAATTCAGGCTGCAAGTTAAAGTTAAGGAGCTAAAAACAGATATTCCCCCCCCCCTCAGATGTGAACCTGTAGCTTATCTCTTATCTCGGCCCTCGGCTCCAGCCCAGGCCCCCGCGCCTCCATCTTTGATTAGCCTGAATATCTTAGCGCTCCTCAAAAAGCTGTAATGAGGCTGCGGTGGCCTGTGTGTTCAGAGGCTGAAGCCCAGCAGTCATCGTGACAGTGGGACGGGGGGGGGGCGGTGAGGGTCGGATAGCTCTGGGGGAGCGCCGTGAGAGCCCTCATATCCATCGAGAGAAGAATCCAGCCTCACAAATGAGGGCACCCTCGAGCGGCGCAGCGTGGGCTCCTCCAAGAAGCTCGCTGGCGCTTGGAGTGTTTTCATTTCCCGCGCACTTACTAGCTCTCAGAGATCACAGTTTCTAATTACTGATTAACGTCCGCTGTGGATGCCCTAATGAGACCTTCATTCAGCGCCTCGTTAAAAGCTCACAGGTCTCCCCGCACCCTGGACCGCCAACTCACACTCTCCTTGTCTTGTTTCCTGATTCCTGCTTTCAGCTGGGCTTAAAATGTGGCTCCAGGTTCCTCTGAGCCCGAGCAGCACCACCTCCCACCTCCCCCTCCATGTCTGCGGGCTTCACTCATGCGTAACAGTAATGGCGTATTGAGCCGGTGGCGCTCCAGAAGCCATTAGAGCTGGAGGAATGAGGCTTTGCACACACTGATCACACAAAGGCCCCATTGTGGAGGCCATGTCAGAGGGTGGAGCGGACCAGCTATCTCTTTGCCAAGCTCCCACCAAGACAATCAATCCCGCAATCCTCCACCCTGCCAGCGACGAGAGCGAGAGTAACGGGAAGGAGCGGGCAACATGTGAGCGGGGAGGGGTGATTGAGGGAGGCTGGGTGGGCTGCAATCAATTTTCCATCATATATCTGCATGCACCGGCCAGGCACACAAAGCCTCCAAGCTAATTACGGGGTGATTTGGATTCCACACGACCTGCACCAGAGCTGGGAACAATAAAGCCAACAATCAGAGAGAGAAAGCAGCCATGTTGTGTGCAATTTATAAAGCCACAGCTAGGGCTCTCTGGTAATTAATATCATCGGCTCAATGTTGTCTTCATAACGGCCAAAATTAACGCCTCTGGCTTCTAATGGTCCAATTAGCGGCTAACGTTTGAAGTACATTTTTGGCTATCGTCTCCATTCAGATCCATTATTGCTATTGAATTCGGTTCCCTTTGTGTTGAAGCTTGTGTGCGACACAAAAGGTGAGCATTTGAACCGCGCACCGCCTCATTAGTCGGCCCAAAAAAAGGACGGAGATCCGTGAGATCCTGATGCACGAACTCTACGAACGCAGGACGGCGTTTAGAAGCAGGATGGCGATCAGATGCAGGTTTCATCGCTCAGCTAACCCCTCCCCTTGCGTCTGACCTACGGTGCAGCAGAGTTCAAGAGCTGATTGTGACTGATTGAGCTGTTTATCACCTGCGAAATCTTCCAAGCCACTCTTTTCTCCCCAGACAGCACAGTAATCAATGCATTAACTAGATGACAGCAGCAGCAATGGCATAGCTCGATAAATAAGCAGCTCCAGTTTCCACTTTTAAGGTGTTATAAATTCCTCTGATGTTAGAGGAGACGGAGCTAACTGGAAAAAGTCACAGGTGTCACAGTGGGAGTGTTGCTGTGGCTGGTGGTAAACCTACTGGAAAAAAAAAAGGGCGTCTCGGAGATACTCACCCCAAACATTTGCCTCAAATCTGGGTCCCGGAAGCGGAAAGGAATGTTGGAGACGTGTAACCTTTTTGGCTGCTGCTTCTCTGAGGAGTCTGAGTGCTGGAGCTGGAGCTGCTGAGAACCCTCTGTTTGCGTCACGTCATCTGTCTGCCAGAGGGAAACAAACACAGAAAAGACACAAGCTGCTCATTAGCTGCTGCTGCTACAGCGCACTGTACCTCCCGGTCCTGCAGTATGAGAGCGACAGTGAGGGGGTGGGAGGCCTGGCTCACTAACTTAACTCCACATCTGCCATTTTTCAATCTACTCAGAAAGCCTGAGCGATAAACAGCCGATGACTTATAGTGTCAAACCTGAGGTTGTGCATTACAAATCCACTTATTAATATCTTGCACTTAGCTCCTGAGCAACAGGGAAGATTGAAGGCGCTGACAAAAAGGCGTGGATATAGATCCCACCAGAGCCCTGACACGTCTAGACTAAAGACACATTATTGGTGACGTTTGCACACAGCCATCAGAGTGCGAGGCCCAGAGCCCTCAGCGTTGTTGTTTCCATCATTATGCGAATACGACGCTGACATTTCTATATAAATGATGTGTCTGATGTCAATGACAAATTCCACTTGTTTCTCAGTGTGACACCGGTGATGGATTTCAGCGAGCCCGCTGCTGGCTTGTCTCTTTAGACGGACCTTGTTTTATTTTCTGCGGACAAAAAGCTCATTGGTCAAACGCACAGTTTACCCCGTCTGATCCGACGGAAGTTTGGGTTTTTTTCTAAAGTTTTCTTTGTTTTGGAGGAGTAAATAAACAAAAAATGTCAATACATGAGCATTAAGTATGGAGCCAAACGCCAATTAGCTTAGCTCAGCGTTAAAACTGGAAGCCTGGTTCTTTTCTGGGCTATTCAAAGCTGCTCACTAATTAAAGCAAAGCAGTGCAAAATACAAATGTTTATTTTTGTGAAAGGGGTCTAATTTGAGCCAATTATGGATTTGTTTTTTAGTGTTTGGATCTTATGCTGTGTTTGAATCCGCTCTGGACTGTTTTTTTTTTTATATTTTTTGTATTAAATAGATTGTAAACTTCTACTACTTTTGCACAAATTACCGTTAATGTGTCTAAATGTTATTTATTTTTCAGTGTGATTAAAAATTATCCAACATTGCAAACTTATTTTAAAAGTTTGCAATGTTTAAAACTTATTTATAAAATTGGTTTTGTTTATAAGAAAAAAAACGAATTAAAGACACTTTATCAAGCTAAAATAGTTTTTTTTATTTTACATAACTTTTACACTTTATGATTAAAGGGACGCTTTAAACTAAGCTTATTTTGTTAAACTATTCTATAGAACTTAATTGAATTCACTCACAGCTCGATTTTTTCCACAATAAAGTCTCAATCTCCAAAATTAATTGGGATTTAAAGTTAGTTTATTTGAGTGAAGCTGTTTCTTAATATGGGTTAAAACTTCTCATTCTATGTTGATTTTTTTTTTATTTGTTTATTTATGTTTGTGTTGCATATGTTGTTGTAAGAAAAAGAAAAAAAGAATGAATTTTTCCAAAATGAACCAAAAAAAATAGAACAAAAAGAAAATATATATATATATAGAAAATAGAAAAATAAAAGCTGTTTATTTATGGCCTCTTCCACAGTTTTATTTTTTAATACATTTAAATAGATTTGCCTGCAACAAACAGAAGTAAAGAATGAAAGCTGAACTTCAGAAAAATTTGTCTCAAAAAATAAAATAAA